TCATTATGACAAGGAGAGCTGATTTGGATCATTCCCTGTGGGAGGTGACAGACTATAATGGGCTGGGATTACGGCTCCCAAAGATCCTGTCTCCTGATATTCACACCCTTATGTAACCCTCTCCTCTTGAGATGTCACTTCCATGGTTAGGTTGCAAAAGACTGACTTGCTGGCACTGTTTCCTGCTTTCTCTTGCTCACTCTGGGGAAGCAAGCTGCGTCATGTTTAATGATAAAGAATGTAGCCTAATTACACAGCTGACACTCGACCTTTATCAATATTCTAGAAGAACAGTATAGAACAGTGGTCACCAACCGGTGGTCCTCAGACCACTGGTGGTCCATGAGGTCTGAAAGGTTGGTGACCGCTGGTTTAAGAAAACCTTTGGAGCAGTGGTCGCCAACTGGTATTCCGCGGACTACTGGTGGTCTGTGAGTCTGAAAGGTTGGCAACCGCTGGTATAGAAAATTAACCTGTGATGATTCTCATTCTCCTATGAGGAAGGATAAAGGTTTTTGTTACCACAATTCACTCCCATAATTTTGAATGAATACCAAGTTTAGTAACTTTGACCACCAGGAATTGTATTATTTAGTGGGACATTGGTATTCTCTCCTCTTCCTAACCAACAGAACTAATTTTTTATTTTATTTTATTTATTTTTTAGCTAACTAGTTTCTGTAAGGCCCACAACACATTTTTATCTTGGAAATCATAAGCAAGTTCAGAACAGTAACACAGGACTGTGTTAGCACTAAATTTAATACAGTATAACTTTATAATTCCTTTTAGAAATATTGTCTTTTTTCATCCAAAATTATAGTTAGTCACAATGGAACAAGGTTCTGATTATATCCTCCTGGCTTATTTCTAAGAAAGCTCTGGTGTCCTAGCTGGTTTGGCTCCATGGTTAGAGCGTTGGCCTGCGGACTAAAGGGTCTTGGGTTCAATTCCAGTCAAGGACACATACCTTTGTTGCACTCTCCAACCCCTGCCCTGGGTCAGGGTCCATGCAGGAGGTAATCAACCCAATGTACGTGTCTCTCTCACATCATGTTTCTCTCTCTCCCTCCCTCTCTCCCTCCCTCTCTCCCTCCCTCCCTCCCTCCCTCCCTCCCTCCCTCCTTCCCTTCCACTCTGTCTAAAAATCAATGGAAAAAATATCCTTGGGTGAGGATTATTAACAAACAAACAAAAGCTCTGGTTATTGTCCTTCACAGTGTTTCAAAAGGCTTAGCTTCAATGATCTAGATTTGAGCCTAGGTTCCCATTAGTTATCTCTAGATGGCAGCAGAAGACATTGGTTAGACTTCAGTTTGGAATTAAATCAACACAGTCAAGTGCAGTGGCCTGACTTTGTCTGAGCTCTCCAAATAGTACATGTGAGCCTCCACAAAGGTCTCCCCTTGTGGCTGGTTTGAACATTAACCTGCTGTGTAGCCTCTGCCTGATCTTGTGGGCTGGCCCACAGAGGTGTGCCCTCCACTTTCCCCTTCCTCACATGGGGATCATAACCCACTAGCCCATGCAGGTCTGAGCCCCGGCCCATTCTGGATCCACCCAATGGTTCCACCCTTTTTATTCATCATAATCCCATTCGCAAACATGGATTCTGTGGGCTTCATTGCCCACCTCTGTTAATCAACCAAATACAAGTGATTTATTTGGCCTGTAGCTACTGCAGCCAGGGTTTCTGTAGAACCAATGCCTCTACAAATGGCATGTGGCTAAATGCATCAGGAGCACCAAACGTGGCATTGTTTGACAGCCCAGATGCAACTGTATTTCTGGCTGTGATGTGCTGGTAAAGTTGAACAAATTCTGCAGTGGGGGTAAGGGGGTCCTGATTTGTAGTATTTGCTGATTTCTATGGTATAACTCTCAACCATGGCCAATTTCAAGCTACTGTGATGTATGAGGAAATGGGAAGACATATATGCCCACAATCAGTTCCCATAAGCTGGTATGAGCTGTCTTCAACCTACTTGGTTTTTGGTCAGGTCTAATGTAAGGTTGATAAGGAGAATGAACATCTTTCCTTTCTACACAAATTTACTCACTCCAATCACCATCTGCCCCTCCAGGTGAACAATTAGTCTCATTTACTTGCAACTAAGGGCCAGGACTAGGGTGAGGCAAATGAGATGCCGAGTGCAAACTTTAAGAGACACTCACTTTTAGGGTCATGCAAATGCAGATGCTGCAAGTGTACGACCCTCAAACTGAGGATCTCCTTAAATTTTGTGTCCCAGGCATCTCAATGGCTACATAGCTTCTGCCATTAAATCATAAGTGGATCAGCCCTCCAACCAGGCAAGATGTCTCATTGGCACTTCCCCATCCTATTCTTTTTTATCTCATAGTGCCTTGGTCACGTGGAGTCAAATCTAAATGTCCATCCCACTTCTGAAGTCCTACTGCAATACTATGCATGACCAGCAGCCATGGTTTTGGGTTCAGAAAAATAATCACACTCATAAGATCCCAAAGGGCCATCACCTCACCAGCTTTGCAGAAGAATGCAAGGCAGGGAACATGGCATACTGTTTAGCAACAGAACATCATGATATACATCTCTTCAATGCAAGTCCTTACAGAAGTCCAGGGCTATAGCTCCCAGAATGATGCTCAGTTACAAGGAAGCAAGAGTACACAAATGGGTGCAGGAACTAACTTAGTAGCCTCATGCCACAGATCTGTCACAGAAGACGGTATCTCCTATACCAGTCTATGAATGTACTTCCATAACTCAGCAAGAACACCTGGGAATGTCACAATACATTCAGGAATGCCCAATACTATAGCTTTCCCCAAAGTATTTACAGTTCATTCATAATCCCAGCAGATAAGATTATGTTTACAATTAGGCAGTTTACCATTAGTCATTTCCACCTTTAGTAGATTTCAGAGAAAAAGTGCTAGAAGATCAACTGGAGGCCATTTTCATAGAAAAAAGTAGGAAGAGTTTTATTAACCCTTTACTCACATACACCAAGGCACAACATCATAAAATTTCAGAATGTTATGGATATAGAAAACATCATAAAACCTTCCAGAGAAAAAAAGCAGGTCTCATTCAGATTTAGTACTCAGAATGGCTCCATACTTTTCAATAGCAGCATCAGAAACTAGAAGCCAATGGAGGAAGATCTTTAAAATTCCTAGGAAAACAATTTCTGAAACAGAAATACCAATATACACATACTTTTATTCAAGCCTAAAGGTAGATTTTCAGACATGCAGTCTTAGAACATTTGCCTCAATGTCCCTTTTCTCAGAAAATATCCAGAGAACCCTTACCCCACTAAACAAAGGAGGATTCAAGGAAGAAGAAGAAATCCAAGATACAGGCCACAGTGGTTCTCAACCTTCCTAATGCCGCGACCCTTTAATACAGTTCCTCATGTTGTGGTGACCCCCAACCATAAAATTATTTTCGTTGCTACTTCATAACTGTAATTGTGCTACTGTTATGAATCGTAATGTAAATATCTGATATGCAGGATGTATTTTCATTGTTCGCGACCCACAGGTTGAGAACCGCTGAAGGGGGTTCTTCATAGGGGAGAAGCAAAAGAAAGTCTCAGAATAGTAGGAAAGAGAGATGTCAGGATATTCAACAAGCCTAGAGAGCAAAGCATATAGCAGGATGATGGGGGAATACAGAAGAAGTATAACCAGAAAAGAAAGAAAAAGAGAGAGAGTATCTGAATGTATTAAGAAGAGACTTATATTTCTAAGGATTTGGAGGTAAACTATTGATGGGATATAAAAAACTAAGGAAACAAAAAAATCATACCACTAATAACCCTAGGGTAAAGAGGTACTTAAAAAGGTACCAGTCTTTACTACACAGAGAGAATGGGAAGAGGGAAATGCACGGATACTGAAGATGAAGGTGGTGATTATCAGAAACTTTTAGTTTACTGACCTACCAGCTATTTCTAATTCCCTTCTCCCTTACCTCCCTGTAGTATAGAGGCTGGAAATGCTAATTACCCCCTTTCCAAGCTTTCCTTATAAGTGGCTGTTACAGTCAATGATAATCAGAAATCTAAGAGTTTCTGGGAAAATGTTTACATTCCTGATTAAATAGGCAGATTTGGCTGCCATCCCTCTTCCCCTTCATTTTGTCTTGAACATGAATGGATGTCTACAGTTACAACAGTCACACTGCAAATATGAATCAACAAACCAACATGCTAAGATTGGTGGAATAGAAAGAGCCTAAGTTACTGATGAAATAGTTGAGACACTGTACCAACTCTGGACAGCCTACTCTAGACTTCTTATTAAAAGAGAGCTATCAGGTAGGTTCTCTGTTAAAGATGAATACAATAAAGAATTCCTAACTAATGTACGGAATATGAGAGCTAAATATTCATTCTCTATACTGTGAAGTGAACAGATAAAAATCAAGAATTAACATGCTGAAGCATTTTATTTACTTAGAACCATGACAATAAGTACCTGAAAAAAAATAGCTAAAAAAAAAGAAATGGAGGCCACCAAGGAGTGGCAAATGGGAATGGGAATGGGTGGGAAGGGGGCTGCTACTTTTCATTGTAAGCCATATAGTAGTATTTTTGGCCCAGGTACTTCTTTGTTGTGGGGGGCTGTTCAATGCAGTTTAGTGTGTCCTTGGACTCTACTCAGTAGATAGTAGTAGCAACTAGGGATAGTATGACAACTAAAAATGTTTCCAGCCTTTGCCAAATGACCCTGAAGGGCACAATGCTTCTGTTTGAAAATGATGGCCTCATAGTACTATTTTATTTTTTTAACTTTCAATAATACTGCAAACGTATTAGTTTGATAAAACTAATTTTGGGGGGGGGGAGTTGGGGGGTTGAAACTAACAATATGAAAAGAGCTAGACTAGAGACCACCAATGTCATTTCTTCTTTCAAACACCTCTTAATTTCCTCCCTAATCTCTCCCTGGTCCTAAGAATGCTTCTCCTCCCCTCCCAGACAAGCACAGACAACAGAGACACATACCTCCTAGAAATGCACACTCGTAATGGCTGCAGGTCTTGTTTGTGCTTCGAAGGATAAGATTATTGCTAGCCCCATCCTGTGACACATAAAAAATCTCATTCAGAGGTATTATAATAATTCTTCCACTTTCATTTTCTTTATCAAAAAATTTTCCAATGGCAACTCCAAAGCATGTGTGAATGGTTAACAGAATGTGTTGATCACTTGCTGCTTGAGGTTTGGCTGAATGTGCCAAGGTGAAATGGCCCAATCTGGCTTGGTTTAGCCCTCCAAAGGTAAACGAAGTACCCTGGCTTGTGCTATACACCACATTTTTATAGCTATCCTCACAAGGTCTTCTCAGCAATTGCAGGGCTTTGGTCAGGTAAAAATGAAAAGCTTTGAATTGGAATCCATAAATATAATCTTTTCGAGACTGGCCAGCCATCTTCACAGCTTCATTGAACAGATGGTAAAAGGAAGTTTGCTCTTGAGCTTCAGAAATATATGCCATCAGGGCTATTCCATGGTTATCCTTAAAACTCATAGGGAGAGAGAGATGAGTCTTCCGAGCTTCCCATTTGGCTTTTGCATTTTCCCACACATCCTCAAAAAGCTGATGGCTTGCTTTTTCTTCCTTAAGCAGTTGGGGAACATATTTGATTTCCATCCTGTCAGTACATTTCTGGTATTCGTCATCAAATGCATTATCTGCCATGTCTAACATATTAGCCTTCACCTTCAAAAGAAAAGGAAATTAATATTCTTGAAACAAGATATTTGGTGTGTCTTTTTCTCTCACATTACTACCTCCACAGTCTCATACCCTGCCAAGAATCTATCCCTTGCTTACAACCAAATTTGGATTTTTTTAAAATTGATTTTTAAATTGATTTTTTTCAAATTTTTAAATTGATTTCAGAGAGAAAGGGAGAGGGAGAGAGAAATAGAAACATCAAAGATGAGAGAGAATCATTGATTGGCTGCCTCCTGCACACCCCCTACTGGGGATCAAGCTCACAACTTGGGCATGTGCCCTGATGGGAAATTGAACTTTGATCTCCTGGTTCATAGGTCAACACTCAACTACTGAGCCACACTGGCTGGGCTGGATATGTTTTTATGTAGAAAGTATATTCCATTGTTATTGATAACTTTTCTCAGCTATTACCTATATGTGTGAAAGAGTAAATGTTAGTGGGTAAGATATGGGTATGATTATGCCTGTAACTCATTTATTTGAACCTTGTGGTACAGACGAAAAACCAATGAGTATAAAGTTGAAGAAATGGGTGGCAATCCTGGCTTTGAAAATATTCTTAGCCAATTTCCTCAACCCCTCAAAACTGTTGAGTGAATATAAAATTATCATGCATGAAATACTATATATGATAAATACATAATGGTAAATATCACCCCTCTTCTTTTTAGGACACTCCCTTGTCCATGTGGTTTGGGTAGGACTGATTCGGCACCTTCAGCCACAGTAATAAGCAATAAATCAGGCTTAAAAACCAGAGCACTCTTTCTTTCTCTACAATCACAAGCTGTAAGGATAATATTGACTTGGGGAAGCCAATAGTTATCCTTTTAGTTCCATGGAAAATCCTGTCTGTAAATAAAACCAATAAAGAAAGGCTTGCAGAGCTGAGGTGGAAAGAAAGGAATGAAGCCCGGATAACATTATTTAAGGCCCTGGGTCTAGCTACCTGAAGACTGTATTTTACCTTAATCATAAGAAGCAACAAATGCCCTATATGCTTGAGCACGTTTGCATTGTTTCTGCTATGTATAACTGAAAAAAGGCCTAATTCAACTTTAAATGATACATAGGAGAAACAGGGTGGTGTAATGTAAATAACACTAGCTTAGGGTCAGAAAGGTGTGGGTTTAAATTCCATTTCTGTTACTAACGAGGTACTAATTAAGTATGGGAAAGTTATTTGGCATTTCTGAGCTTCAATTTTTTCATCTAAACATGAGGCTAATGTAAGGAAACATGTGTTAATTGTAATTCTTTTGCAAGGATTAAGTGATATAATGAATAAATGCAAAGTCTTAGCTCCATGCCTGACACATGTCAAGCCTTCAACAAATTGTGATTATTTTTAATTATTTCATTATAAAAATATATTTATTATACTGTAAATTAATCAAGAATAGGTTATGCATTATATTTCTCTTTTGAAGTCCAAGCATCTACACATTGAAGTGAATTAAATAAAACCCTGTACTCTGACCTACTGATCAAAAAATAGGATGAGCGAATGCTGTAGAAGAGAACCAAGATGCAGCATAGGTAAACACCTGAACTTGCTGCCTCGCACAACCACATCAAAACTACAACTAGAACTCAATATGGATATCATCCAGAACCACGGGAAGGCAGGCTGAGTGGAAGTTATACAACTAGAAGGAAAGAGAAAAGCACACTGAGACTGGGAGGAGGTGCGGAGGTACGGAGGCGCGTGTGGAAACGGGCTGGCAACTGGGTGCGCTGTTGTCTTTTTCAATCGGAGGGAGATACAAGCTCCCGACTGCTCTGAACTCATTCTGGGTGAGACTCTGGGGACCCAGACTCATATGGGGAGAAACTGGACTGTCTGGCATCAGGCCGGAACACGAGGGCGGCTTTCTCTCAGAGGTGCTTGCAGTGATCATTGTTCCTGTACGGTGCTGAGGGACACAGAGACCCGGGGACCTCTTCGGGGCAGGGCTGACAGGCAGCCATTGCTGTTTGCTCTGCCCTAGTGATTCCCTGAGATCCCACCCCACCCAATTTACAACCCCACTCAAGCTGTGCGCAGAGGCTTTTGCATATGAATGGCCTGACCTTTTGCAATCTAAAACCTAACAAACTGCAGATGGGTCAGAGAGCCCCACAGCTTCCAAAAGAAGGCCCAAGGCTTGGCAGAAGCCTGCATTGCTTCATAGCTGGGCCTCATCTGGGCACCTCCAAACCCCAAACAAAGAGGAGGGATCTGGAGATCTCTCTGTAGCTCCTGCTGGGTGGCCTCAGGCAGTGGCTGACTTTGCACTTCCTTGGAGATCCAAGAGCCAGCGTACCCAGTGGTCAGAGTGAGACCATACCAGAGTACAACTCTTCACATCCATAAGAGACACACTCAGGGGGCAGACTCAGTGAGTGCCAAAGCCCCACTGAAGCAAGTCCTGTCCCATAAGGGTGTCTCCAGCACAGAAGTTCTCCCATTGTAGACACAACTGGTCCTCACAGCAAAGTGGCCTGGAGGTCAATTCCTCCCAGTGATACCAACAGCAATCAAGGCTTAACTACAACAAGACTGTGCACACAGCCCACAAAGGGGTTCACCAAGAGTGTCCACCTCAGGTAATTAGGGAGGCTGAGCCACTGGGCCCTATAGGACACCTAGCACACAAAGCCACTCTATCAACACAGGGAAGCAGCCAAAATTTGGAGACAAAGAAACATGTCACAAATGAAAGAAATGGAGGAAAGCAAACTACTGCATATAGAGTTCAAAACCATGGTTTTAAGGTTACTCAAGAATCTTCTAGAAACCTCTGAGAAATTTAGTGAGACCCTCAAGGATATGAAAAAGGACCAATTAGAATTAAGCATACACTGACTGAAATAAAGAAGAATATACAGACACCCAACAGCAGACTAGAGGATCCCAAGAATCAAGTCAAAGGTTTGAAATACGAAGAAGCAAAAACATCCAACCGGAAAAGCAAAAAGAAAAAAGAATCCAAAAATATGAAGATAGTGTAAGGAGCTTCTGGGACAACTTCAGGCATACCAACATCCGAATTATGGGGGTGCCAGAAGAAGAGAGAGAACAAGATATTGAAAACCTATTTGAAGAAATAATGACAGAAAACTTCCCCTACCTGGTGAAAGAAATAGACTTACAAGTCCAGGAAGCGCAGAGAACCCCAAACAAAAGGAATCCAAAGAGGACCACAGCAAGACATATCATAATTAAAATGCCAAGGGCAAAAGACAAAGAGAGAATCTTAAAAGCAGCAAGAGAAAAACAGTTAGTTACCTACAAGGGAGTACTCATACAACTGTCAGCTGATTTCTCAACAGAAACTATGCAGGCCAGAAGGGAGAGGCAAGAAATATTCAAAGTGATGAATACCAAGAACCTACAACCAAGATTACTCTACCCAGCAAAGCAAAAATGTAGAATTGAAGGTCAGATAAAGAGCTTCACAGATAAGAAAAAGCTAAAGGAGTTCATCACTGCCAAACCAGTACTATATGAAATCCTGAAGGGTATTCTTTAAGAAAAGGAAGAAGAAAAAGGTAAAGATAAAAATTATGAACAACTAAGTGACAACCAATACATATCTATCAACAAGTGAATCTAAAAATCAAGTGAATAAAAAAACTGATGAACAGAATAAACTGGTGAATATAATAGAATCAGTGGCATAGAAAGGGAGTGGACTGACAATTCTCAGGGGAAGGGAGTTTGGGGGGTGCGGGAAGAGACTGGACAAAAATCATACACCTATGGACGAGGACAGTGGGGTGGTGGTAAGGACATGGGGTGGGAACTGGGTGGAGGGGAGCTATGGGGTGAAAAAGAGGAACAACTGTAATAATCTGAACAATAAATATTTATTTAAAAAAATAGGATGAGCAAATCTGCCCAGGGATACCATTTAAGGGTTTCTACAAATGAAAGGATAATGCCCTCCACATCATTCTCTCTTTCCACGATTCTATACTACTTTTATGGCACACTGGTTGCATAAGCTATACTCTCAGTTGGAGATCTTAGTTGGAGACTTTATAGACACAGATTGAGTAACTTGTCTGGAACTGAAATTTGAACCTGAGCAATCTAGTTCCAGAGTCTGTCCCCTTAATTAAAATGTTATTTCCAGTGATGAAGATCATTGGAATTTATGTAGCACTTCTAAAAGGGTTTAATTTTGTTCTCATAACAACCCATAAGAAAGGTTGAAAGGTCAATTCATAACATCATTTTACAAATGAAGCAATTATACCGGCATCAGAAACTATTTTTCTTTTTCTTTTTTTAAAATATATTTTATTGATTTTTTACAGAGAGGAAGGGAGAGAGATAGAGAGCCAGAAACATCGATGAGAGAGAAACATCGATCAGCTGCCTCCTGCACACCTCCTACTGGGGATGTGCCCGCAACCAAGATACATGCCCTTGACCGGAATCGAACCTGGGACCTTTCAGTCCACAGGCTGACGCTCTATCCACTGAGCCAAACCAGTCAGGGCAGAAACTATTTTTCTTGATTACCGGCCACAGAATATTCTTCTGTGAAAACCCCCTGTACTCCTGGTCTGTAGGTCAGTTTCTTGAAGTGGGAATTTGAGCTTCAGGAGACTAAATCACTGCTGTCTCCTAGCCAAGAAATTCACTTTCCTCTGCAGCACAGAATGTACCAGAGGATATCCTGGGCACTAGTGCCTGATTTATCTTTAAGACTTCAACATATTACAAGACATCATACCCTGAAACTACCACCTCCCACATTCCTCGGTATCACATCAGAGTTGATCCAATGTGTTCCTGTCTGTTCTATGCCTCTAGCCAGTCTCCACTAGTCTAATTTTAGACATCAAGTCTTTCTGGATCAAGGCCACAGTTGATTGTGTGTTCTGTACAGTGAGTGCCTGGAACAGTGAAAAAGTTCACAAATGCCACCACTGTTCAGGGACCACTGGATGGACATTAAAGGGACAGGTACAAAAGGCTAGGTGAACACACTGGTTATATATTTTCTTCCTCTGATTTATCAATTGAAACAAAGGCCAATACTGATGAAATTAAATTACCAAAAATTTATTACAAAAATGTAGAAATGATCCAGTGTTCAGAAAAGAAATTATAGAAATGCATAGAAAAACACTTTAAACTTTTGTTGCAAAAGAATATTAAAAATGTAAATCAAAACCACAGTGAGATACTACTTCATATAATTTAGGGTGGCTATTTTAATAAGAAAAAAGGGAAATTAAGTGTTGGCAAGGATGTAGAGAAATTGAAGCCTCATACACTGCTGATGGGAATGTAAGATGCAGCCACTGTGGAAAACAGTTAAGCAGTTCCTCAAAATGTTACACAGAGTTACCATATGACCCAGCAATGTATATACCTACTCCTAGGTATATACCCAAGATAATTAAAAATATATGTTCACACAAAAACACATACATGAAAGTTCATAGCAGCAGTACTCATTCATAGGAACAAAAAGTGGGAACAACCCAAATGTCCATAAATTGATTCATGGATAAACAAAATGTGGAATAACCACACAATGGAATATTATTCAGCTATGAGAAGAATGCAGTACTAACATACGCTACAACATAGATGAACCTTAAAAACATTATGCTCAAGGAAAGAGGCCATACAAACGGATGGGCATTGCTTGATTCCATTCAGATGAAATGTCCAGAATGTCAAGAATAGGCAAATCCATAGACACAGAAAGCAGACAGGTGGGATAGCCAGGGATGCAGGGAAGCAGGAATTGGAACTGACTGCTAATAGCCATAGGGCTTCTTTTTAGGTTGATGGAAGGTCTATAATGAGACAATAGTGAAACTATGCACAACATGGTGAATCTACGAAAACCACTGAATTGCGAATTTTTATGTGAATTATATCTCAATTAAAAATCACACTACAGTATAGGCAACAGAATACATAATCGTTCTATAGACAATGGATCAGAATATTAAATTAAAAAATAGATAATTTTTTAAGAATTCAAGATATTTTAAAGGAGGTACCTCAAGTCAATGGACAAATAATCAGTGGTGACATGACAGCTAACAATGTGGGGGGAGGGGATTAAGTGTGATACCTGGCTCAAATTTTACATAAAAATATGTTATAGAGCCCTAGCTGGTTTAGCTCAGTGGATAGAGCATCGGCCTGGGGACTGAAGGGTCCCGGGTTCGATTCCAGTCAAGGACACATGCCCGGGTTGTGGGCTCAATCCCCAGTAGGGGGCGTGCAGGAGGCAGCCAATCAATGATTTTCTCTCATCACTGATGTTTCTCTCTCTCTCTCCCTCTCCCTTCCTCTCTGAAATCAATAAAAATATATTAAAAAAATGTTACAGAATGTGTAAAGATTCAACTTCAAAAAATAAAATGATAAAAGTTCTACCAAAAAAAAAATAGTGCATGTGAGAAAATGGTCATTATATAGTAATTTAATAGAAAACATGTAACAAAATACTGCAGTGTCATCTTATTTGAAAAAAATACATATTTCCAGAATATTTAGTGATCCAGAGAGACATTTATAGCGCAGTATTAACTTAAAAAGGCAAAAAACATATGTATTGTATGAACCCATTTTGTAAATTAGAGAGAGAGAGAGAGAGAGAGAGAGAGAGAGAAAGAGAGAGAAGCCAAGACTATACACCAACAAATTAAGAGTCTTTCCCCTCTGAGTAGAGAGATTGTGGATGATTTTTACTCTCCTCTTTTTGCTTAATTTTAATTTTTTTTAAACTTCTATAATTAACATGTATCAAGTGTGTAAAATGAAAATATGAAAAACTGATTTATATATTCTATCTGCTCTCATTTGCATTATGAACCACACAGATGCCTTAGGTAATGTTATATCAAGAGTTCCTAGCCCAATGACCACATACTTCCCATTTCTAACATTACCTGGAAGATATTCATTAGAATCACAGCTGACAGCAGCATGGTGACCATTTTAAAATGTCCTGTCTTCATTTTTCTCTTCTAAATTAAAATGAAGAAATTCCAAATTAATAGACATTAAAAAAAGAGACTTACCGAAGTAGAGCACTATCCACTATACATATTTTCATTTGGGTGGAAGTAGGTATCATGATGGTCAGGAAGTGATTACCAATAAATTCCAATGGCTGGAAGGGCCTGGATTTTGTCTGCTCGTCTAACACCCGCATTCTACAGATGAGGAAACAAAAACTCAGAGAACTTCAGCAATTTGCTCAAGATTAAATCTATCCATTTCCATTCTTCTCTAGATATGTTGTCTCTCCCACCATAGTCACTGGTGCTCATATTTTCTTGCTATCAATACATCTCTCAGCATACTCAGGAAATTAACACCAACAAAAACAAAAACGTTTCAAAATTGGTCTCCCAACTCCCAGTTTCTAAGAATTCTCCAGGGGTTAGAGACCATGCACATCATCCACTCTTCTATCCTCTTTGCAAATCAAGTCATCCCCATTTGGGGGTAATGGAGATAATGAAGCCAGTAGTGGTACAAAGCAGAAGGTTATCCAAGGGTACCTCCTTGTCCCCAATATTCACATTCAAGAGAAGCCCACGGATAAAGTGTCTTGCATAACTTTCTGAAGGCAGGAATGAGAATAAGAAGGAACTGGGTAGGCAGCAATTCTAATAAGATTATACAACTCTGCTGGCTGAATGCCCAATATTCATCACAGTGTTTACGAGACTAAAGGGGTAAGTAGGAGGGCAAGTGGCCCTAAGGGCTGAAGCTGTCCCAGAGTCAATAAATGGCCCATTAAAGGTGGTCTACAGTTCCTGCCACATACTTACAATACACTTAACATTACAGAACTGAACTAAAGTCTCTATTTTATTGTACCCATCACCATATCCTGGCATCTGAATATGGGGATGAAGGCAGAGAAAAGAAGATAGTCTTCCCTTTGGCCCTAGGTCCCTGCCTTTATTTAGGAGCTATCTGTTTCACCAAAGATATTAAAATATAATATCAAACATGCCACGTTTGTGTTAAACTTCCCTTTCCAAAAAAGATTCGGTCTGTAAGACTTGGCAAATAACTGTCACAAAGCAGTATATGCCAAGAAAGCTAGGAAACCAGGTTTTGTTTTTGTTTTAAATTCTTCACTGCTGTAGTCTGAGTGTAAATAAGTAAAAATGTTTACCTGGCTTTTCTGCTTGTGGAGATTTAAATGATGCTAGGTCTCAAACTGTTTCCCCACTCTCTGTTGTGAGCGTGTCTTCAGAATGGGAGGTTGTTGACAGTGAGAGCTGAGAAGGGAATGCTTTTCTTTTTATAAACACCCCCAGCAGTAGCTTGGCAGTGGCACATTACCCCATTTGTGTTCTGCTATTTATATCTGGCCCCCACACTATCCCTTGGAATCACTGCTGTTAACACATGAAATCTCCAAGAGGCTTGTAAAGCCACAGCAATTCCCTCTAACCACACAGCGTGTTCAGTTCTGAGCCCTTAGTGTTGGGCTTCTCCGAGAGTGATCACTTCCCATTCCTAACCCTTTGACCCTGAGATGTCAAACTAAAGCAAGACTTTACCCGAGCTAGATGGTTCACATAACTAAGGGGACTTGCTGTGTTAACTGCTGGCGATGACGATGGTTATCACCATTCATTCAACCAGCTTTCTGCGTTTCAGGTACTGTGCCAGATGCTGGGATACACAAGCAAGCAAAACAAAGTACTGAGAAGCATTCACAATCTAATAAAAGATATGAATATGTATACTTAATCAGAATACATGTTAAGAATCTTAAGCATAGACAAAGTCTAGTGACAGCACTAAGAAGGGAAGGATTTGGTAACAATACCTGCAACTGTAACTCTCATCTGAGTGAAGTACACATAGTGAATATATTGACAACATGCTGAAGAATACTCAGAGTTCACTGACTGGATAAAAAAAAAATGTGAGTGTCCTAGGAAATTCATGCATATATACATCAAAATACATTAATCAAATGTATTAGATAGTAGCTCTATTCATAACAGCCCCAAACTGTAAGTCATCCAAACACCTATCAAAAGTAGAATGGATAAATTGTGGTATATTATACGATGGATTTTTTTTTATATTAAAAGCAATAACCTCTAACGACACATAACAAATGTGGATAAATCTCATAAACAAAATTATGATTAAAAGACACACATGTGCATATACTACATGATTTAATTTACATGGAGTACAAAACCAGATAAACACATCTATGGCCTTAGATGTCATAACAGTGGCTATTCTTAGTGGGACATAGTAACTGGAAGAGAATAGGCCCAAGGAAGAACCTGGGATGCTACTTAGGTTCTGTTTTTGGTTCTGGATATTGATTACATTGATATTCGGTTTGTGAAAATTCGCTAACCTATATACTTACGTGTATTTTTCTGTGTGTGTGTGTGTGTATACACATATATATTACTCAGTGAAACATTTTAAATTATCATAAAGTGCATCCACTTTTATAAAAACCCATCTCATCTCTACTCTTCAAACTCTTCAAAACCTCTAACCTCTCTCACCTCACTGGCTAAGCAATTTAAAAGATTAAATACACTAAATAAAATCCTAGAAATAGTATCATTTTTTAAAAATGGAGTTTAGTTAGAAGGAAAAAGAATGTATGCACAGGTTTTCAGGCCTATGCTCATGCTGACTTGCTTGTATGTCCCAGGCATGTGGGCCTACAGGAAATGCGGTGGTGGGATTTCCCCATCTTCGGCCTTCTCAAATCTACTAGATTCATCTATCACCCAAAAGACTGAATTCACCCGAAAGAACATAATAAACACTGTGTGAAGTTCAAAGCAAGTTTTTCCTTGTTTATTCCCAATATGCCTTTGTTCCATTCCTGTTTTCTTCCATTTTAAAACTCTTGATATCATTCATTCAACAAATATTTGAGTCCTTGCAATGTTCCCAGCACTGTTTTTCCGAGGTACTGGGGGTATAACAGTGAACAAAATAAACATCTTGCCCTTGTCAAATTTATATTCTCGTGGGAGGAGGCAGTCAAATAACAACTAAAATAAATAAGTAAATTACATAAGTATGTTAAAATATAGTAAATACTCCTTTAAAAAAATAGTAGTACAAGGAAGATTAGGAGTGCATGGAGAGTTTGCAATTTAAATTGGATGGTTAGGGATAACTCATTGAAAAGGTTACATTTGAGCAAAGTCTTGAAAGAAATGGGGGAGATCAGCCATGAAGACTGTGGTGGAAGAGTGGTCAGAGAGAGGGAATTCAAGCAGGCCAATATGGATGGAACAAATAGGTAAGAGAAGAATAGTAGGATATATAGTCAGAGGGGTGTTGGTAAGATGTCTTAGTAGAAATTGTGGTGGCTCAAACAATGATGGTAGCAGTAAAGGTGAGGAGGGTATATGTATGTGTGTGGTTGTCTTTGAGTTTGTTAAAAAATACTCCTTTTGAAGATTAAATTAACCATATTTTCAAATATGGTAAGAAAAAGTATTTGTGGGTTCTAAAAAGCTAATATATTTTTAAAAAGATGATAATTTATTAAAAAGTAAATGGAAATGATCAATAGTGATACCAATTTCTTACATAATAAAAATGTTTGGACTTAACTTCAGAATATAATTTTAAGATTGAAGCGGTAGGATGCACTGACAGAGTGGATGTGGGCTGCAAGAGAGAGAGAGGTAAAGAATAATTCCAAGATTTTTAGCTTGAATAACTAGAAGGATAAAGATGTCAATGACTAAAATAGGGAAGACTCTGTGTAACGGATGTCCTAGAAGTCAGGTGAAGAAAACATTTCCAAGAGAAAGAAAAGATCAAAAGTGTCAAATGCTTCTGCTAGGTCAAATAAGATCAGGACAGGGAAATGATAAGTGGATTTAACAATGTGGAAGATATTAACAGCATTGATAAGAGCAATTTTAATGGAACAGTGGGAATGAAAGCCTGGTTGAAATGGCCTGAGAATGGAAAGAAAAGGAATTGGAGAAGTACTGAACTCTTCCAAAAAGTGTTTTTGTAAAGGAGAGAAAAACAATGTGGCAGTAGCTTAATGGAAGGGTTAGAGGAAAAATAAAGAAGAGGATACAAGAGAAAAAATTTTAAGATGGTAAATAATAGCATGTTTGAATAATGATTCGGTAGAGAGGATGAAAATTCGTAATTTAGGAGAAGGAGGGGAGAATTGATAATATAGGAAAGGAGAAAAGGAGAAATACTGGATCATGTCCTTGACTAGGCAA